TTCTTTCGGCTGCTCCCTTCATCAGGGGTCACCACAGTGAACTAAGTTGCATGAAGACTTGGCAATTATTTTTACGCTGGATGTCCTTCCTGACGCAACCACAGACCACCGAGCTACCACAGCCCTCTGTGTGGAGCAGAGAGCTGCTATCTAGGACACCCGGAGGAGCAGATGGTGGGGGTTAAGGGCCTTGCTCAAGGGCCCAGAGTGGGACGAATGAGGGTGGGGGCAGATGTGGGTGCTTCACCTACTCCACCCACATTTTTGATGTTGTCGGTACTGAGACTTGAACCGGCGATCTTGGTGAGGTATTCGCTCCCGGTTTGCCTGAGGTCTTCACTCCTGACCCTACCGCAGAAGATCCTGGCCCACTGGAGGTCTTCGTCCATGGCCTGCCTGATGAGGTCTTCGCACCCAGGTCCAAGTCAAGTCAAGTCAACTTTATTTATAGAGCACATTTAAAACAGAACCTGTTATCAAAGTGCTTAACAACAACAACAACAATCAATGGGAGTAAAATTAAAGAGAAAAAAATACAATACACTAATAATAATAACTGAAGAATTAATAAAAAGCATTTAAAACATAGGTCCACGCCTTGTCCAGGTTCCAAGGCCCACCCAGGCTCTACGTCCCATCCAGTCTGCCCACCTGGTCCACACCCGGCGTCATGGATGGCTCTCCGGTCGCCCGCCTGGTCTGCTCTAGCAATGTGGAAGACTCTCCGGTCACCCACCTGATCTTCTCCAGCACCATGGACGACTCGCCAGCCACCCACCTGGTCTGCACCGGCATGATGGACGATTCTCCAACTACCCGCTTGATCTGCTTCTTCCCGAAAGGCCTCCCGACCACCTGTCTGACCTGATCCTGTTTTCATGCCCTGTTGGATGACCTCTCTGCCACCTGCCTGACCGGCCCGGCCTGATGAATGGTCTCCAGGCCCCCCGTCTGACCTGCTCTTGCCTGAGCGGCCTCCCGGCCACCCGCCTGACCTGTTTCAACTTGATGGACAGCCTCCCGGCCACTCGCCTGATCTGTTCCAGCCTGATGGTTGGCCTCCCGGCCACCCGCCTGACCCGTTCCAGTCTGATGGACTGCCTCCCGGCCGCCCACCTGATCTATTCCAGCCTGATGGACTGCCTCCCGGCCGCCCACCTGACCCATTCCTGCTGATGGACGGCCTCACGACCGCCCCCATGGGGGGGGGGGGGGGGGTACAGTAAGGATGGCACCATCTAGTGGGCCTTCCTTGTCTGTGCACCCTAGTGTGTCTCCTCATTTAATCCTGATGGGTTTCTCCTTTGTCTGGTACCAGCTGTTTGTAATTATGTCCTATCCTGTCTCTGTATATAAGTCTGTCTGAGTCTTGTCGTTTGTCGCATCGTCGTTGGGTATAGCCTTGTCCTGTTTGATCCTGCCTTGATCCCATACCAATTCTGTTTTGTGAGTTTATGCTGCCACATCAACCCTTTTATTTATTATTAATAAAGTATTTATTTTTGTAACTCCTGCGTCTGAGTCTCTGCCTGCACATTGGGTTCACTCTTGCTCTGCCCTGTCAGAAACCCTGACAAATTTGTACTGTTGTTTGGCGTATTGATCTTGTAGTGCTTAGCGTATTTTTAGTTAAGCATTTTTCTTAGTTCATATCTTAGATCTTATTACTGTTTTTATTTTGCATTTTATAGTTTGATTGGATATAACTGGGACCCTGTGTACACAATTTCGTTCCACCACATGTACCACATGTGGTGCATATGACAAATAAAGAGACTTTGAGATTTAGACTTGTTTGCCTTTAATTTATGTTTAGTCAAGAACAAACTGAAAGTCTGCTATCCATAGTTGATGCTAAATTAAAGAGTGAAACACAAATGCAGTGTGTTAAATCATTCTATCAAACCATGATGTCTATTGTTTTAAAGGTTTATTGACATGCTGATTTTAACCCTCGTGTTTTTTGTTTCTGTCTCTTTAAACTGAATCCATGCGGCAGGAGCACTTATGGGGGTGCAGCTGGGCATGGGGGAACTGCTGCAACAGAGGCTACGTTGTGGCCAGGTCAGAGAGGCTCTGGGCATCCTGGAGGCAATGGACTGGCGCATCATAGGGGACGAGTGCTACCGAGGCCTGAGCTCGGTTGTGAACCACCTGCTGAGACTGCAGCTGAACGCTGAGAGGGAAGGTGGGGGTCTTTGATTTTGGTCTTCAGAAAGTTTGCACTTCAATAATTCAAATATTTTAAACTCAGAATTGCCGGTAGTAAGTCTGCAAAAGGAGGTTGATAATTGTGCCTTTATGAAGTTAGACTGTGTTTTTAAGGGTTTGATTTATGCCCAAACAAAACATTTTGTGATCATTTTCTGTCTGCAGCCCAGCTGGAAGCTGCTTTGGGTGTGTTTTACGCCCCACCTGTCCATCTCTCTGATACAGTGATAATGGAGTACAGAGAGCCAGCCAGCAAGTATGCCCGCCGCTTTTTTCACCATCTCCTCAGGTAACACCACCTTCTCAGTTTTGTTGCTGGGGTCTTCATTTGAGGGAGAAATTAGTTTTGTTCACACAACTCAGGGGGGTCCAGGTCAGCTTCTTTTGGAGCACTCCTGGACATTAAACAAAGAGTATCCCAGCATCAAGCAGAATTCAGTCTTTTAAAATGATGTTTAGGACTGTTTAAAACATGCTAGTAGAATATATGGTTTTGTTTATCAATGTGGAGAGGTTTATTTGAATGAGAACTGTTTAAAAAATGCATTTTAAAAATGACATCCATTGAAAAATCCATTTCGCGTTGCATATTTTCTTCTCATTTTTGCTATTTTAAATGTTCTAAAAAGGAAATAGTTTTTAAATTTCATGCTGATGCAGCTTTGAGTCATTCATGAGGCAAAGCACCACACATAGACCTGTTTGGACTGTTGTTTCATTTTTCCTTCTTCCATGAGAGCCCTTTGAAATGCCTGTTTGACTGAAATAGACCCTGTTGTTCCCACACACTGCTGCTCGCTGCTCTCCATTCAGCATTTACCTTCTGTTTCCTCCTCTGTACCCGAGCTGGAGAGTTGTTTCCCTCCTACACGTCCTTTCTTATCACCTACCTGCCATTCTTTTTTTCCTCCAATAAGATCAAATAAAGAACTCCTCCACTCCACCTCCTCTTGCTGCTTGTTTATTTGTTTCATGTTGGGCATAGACAGGAAAAGTTATGTTGTGCTGGAAGCTTCAGCTCTCTCTCCCAGCTTCCATCCATCCATCCATCCATTATCTACCGCTTGTTCCGAAGTTGGGTCGTGGGCAGCTTGAGCAAGGAGGCCCAGACATCTCTTTCCACAGCCACCTCTTATAGCTCTTCTGGGAGGACCCCAAGGCATTCCCAGGCCTACCGAGAGACATATGCCCCTTTTTCACAGTTCCTCCTTGGCCCTGCTTTACCCTGCTCAGGCCGGTTCCATGTTCTTTTCCACAGGGCCTTCTTCGTGGAGCCGGCCTGTTTTTTCATTACCTACTTCTCTGCGGTTCCACTGAGGCCAAGCAGGACCCTAAAACGTGATTTCAGCACACTGTCAGTTACTGATTGGTTAGGGGGCGGAGTCATTGGTCAGAAGGCGTAATTTCAGAAACTTCCACCCCAACCCGAACCGCCATTTTCTTTTTAAACTGCTATTAGAAACAACTCGAATCCAGAGGAGCATATTTTGAGAGTTGAAGATCACGGCTTGATGACGCCAACAGGACCACATCATCTGCAAAGAGCAGAGATAGAATCCTGAGGCCACCAAACCGGAATCCCTCTGAAGCCTGGCTTTACCGAGAAATTCTGTCCATAAAGGTTATGAACAGAATCTGTGACAATGGGCAGCCCTGGCAGAGTCCAACTCCCACCCTGAAGGGGTCTGACTTACTACCGGCAATGTGAAGCAAACTCTCGCACCGCTTATATAGGGACCAAACAGCCCATAACAATGGGTCCCCGATCCTATACTTACAGAGCACCCCCCACAGTGTACTCTGAGGAACATGGTCAAATGCCTTCTTCAAGTCCACAAAACACATGTAGGCAAACTCCCATGACCCCTCGAGGACCCTAGTGAGGGTAAAGAGCTGGTCCTGTATTCCACAGACAGGATGGAGTTCCTCTTGGATCTGAGGTTTGACCAAGGATTTGACTCGCTTCTCCAATACCCCTGAATAGACCTTACCAGGGAGGCTAAGGAGAGTGATGCCCCTGTAATTGGAGCATACCCCTGGTCCCCTTTTTTGAAGAGGGGAACCACCACCCCAGTCTGCCAATCCAGTGGCACTGCCCCCGATGTCCATGCAATGTTGCAAAGGAGTGTCAACCAAGACAGCCGCACAACATTCAGAGCCTTAAGGAAATCAGGGTGAATTTCATCCACCCCAGGAGCCCTGCCACCGTAGAGCTTTTTAACTACCTTGGTGAACTCAGCCACGGTTATGGACTGACCAACCCCAAAGTCTCCTGACTCCACTTCCTCAATGGAAGATGTGCCAGTGAGATTGAGAAGGTCCGAGAAGGAACTCCTCTTACTGATGAAGCACTCCGAATAGAGGGTGAAACGTCTCTATTAAAAAGAAACTGTCCAGATGACCTGACTGAGAATTATTGGATTTGGTACCTGGACGATTGAACATGAACTTTGTTGTCCGAAAAGTATTCTTTCCACCTCCTGATGACATCACTGGTTGAGGTCAACAGCACCTCACTTTCTCTGATCACAGTGTTCGTAAAGTGCTGCTTTCCCCTCCTCAGCCACCTGATGGTTGGCCAGAATTTTCTCTGAACTGACAGTCGTTATCCAGGGTTTCACTGAACTCCTCCCACATCTGAGCTTTTGCCTCAGTAACAGTCAAGGCTGCAGACCGCTTGGCCCTCGGGTACTCCTCAGCTGCCTCTGGAGTCCCACCAGCCAACAAGGCCTGATAGAACTTTTTCTTCAGCTTGACAGCCTCCCTAACCCGGGGTGTTCACCACCAAGTTTGAAGATGGCCACCGTGAGAAGCACAGACAACCTTGTGGCCATAGCTCAAGGCAACCACTTCAACAATTGAGTCGAGGAATATGGCCCACTCGGACTCAATGTTCCTCGCCTCAGCTGGGATGCGGTTAAAGCTCTCCCGGAGGTGTGAGTTGAAGATCTTTCTGATGGGTTCTTCTGCCAGGTGTTCCCACCAAACACTCATTACACATTTGGGTCTACCGTTTCTGTCTGGCATCTTCCCCCACCATCTGATCCAACTCACTACCAGGTGGTGATCAGTTGACAGCTCAGCTCCTCTCTTCACCCGAGTGTCCAAAACAATTTGCCTCAAATCAGATGACATGGTCACAAAGTCAATCATCGATCTACGATCCAGGGCATCCTGGTGCCAAGTGCACTTATGGACACACTTATATTCAAACGTGGTGTTTGTGATGGACACACTATGACTAGCACAGAAGTCCAACAACAGAACACCACTCAGGTTAAGATCAGAGAGGCCGTTCCTCCAAATCACACCCTTCCAGGTCACACTGTCATTACACACGTGGCCATTGAAGTCCCCCAGCAGAATAAAGGAGTCACCAGCTGGTGCACCTTCTTGCACCCCTGCCAAGGACTCCAAGAAGGCCGGATACTCTGAATTGCTGTTCGGCGCATAGGCACAAACAACAGTCAGAGCCCATCACCCCCACCCAAAGGTGCAGGGAAGCTACTCTCTCATCTACTGGGGAAAACTCCAACGTACGGGCACCAAGTCGGGGGACTAAGCGTAGACCTACACCAGCTCGGTGCCTCTGACCATGGGCAACTCCAGAGTGGAATAAGGTGCTGTCCCTCTCAAGATTGGTTCCAGAGCCCATGCTGTGCATCGAGGTGAGCCCAACTATATCTAGTTGGTACCTCTCAACCTCACACACGAGCTCAGGCTCCTTCCCACCAGAGAGGTCACATATCCCAAGAGGTCACATGTCCCAAGAGCCAGCTTTGGTAAGCCACGGTCAGAGTGCCAAGGTCCCCGCCTTCGGCCACTGCCCATGTTTTCATTCACCCAACTCATATAGCCCCTCCTGCTGGTGGTGGGCCCATAAGAAGGCAAACCCATATTGCTCATTCAGGCTGAGCCCGACCAGGCCCCATGGGTGGAGACCCAGCCACCAGGCACTCGCCAACGAGCCCCTCCCCCAAGCCTGGCTCCAGGGTGGGGCCCTGGTAACCCACGTCCGGGCAAGGGACATTGAGTTCTTTGTTTGTTTCTGTCCATAAGAGGCTTCTTTTCTCCCAACTTTAATTCTTTAATATTAAAAAAGTGCTCACTTATTGACATTATTGTACACAGAGGTTTATGTGAAGGTTTGTGGGTTTTGGGAAATTGTTTGTGTGCAAAATAAACTAAAGCAAGCAGAAAAATAACTTATACTTGTTAGATCAATAAAATTTGCTTATGTTTATAAATCTTACTTTTACTTCTGTTGTTTATGTTTTTTTAGGTATTGCCGTTTTGAGAAAGCCTTCCTCCTTGCTGTAGATTTAGGAGCTAGAGATTTATTCATGGTGAGTAGAAAGACATTTTAATTTCAGATATTGATATGAAATATGTAGAATTATATATTGATATTTTATTTTTGTTTGAAATATTTTTTTCATCATTATTAGCTTACACAGCACAGTCTACAGATGAGCAGCTGTAGACTGAGCTGTTTTTTGCTTTATTTGAATGCATTTGGGGCGGCACAATTGGTAGAGCTGCTGCCTCTCAGCGAGAAGGTCGTCAGTTCAAATCTCGGCCCTGGAACTTTCTGGGTGGCGTTTGCATGTTTTGCATGTCTGTCTGTGCATGTGTGGTTTTTCTCCTGGTACTCTGATTTCCCCCCACAGACCAAAAATATGCATGTTAGGCTGATTGGTAACTAAATTGTCCCTAGGTGAGAGAGAGAGTGTGAATGGTTTTTTGTCTCATTTGTCTCTATGTGTCCCTGTGATGGACTTGAGACCTGTCCAGGGTGCCTCCCGCCTCTCGCACAGTGATAACTGGACATGGGGACCAGTGAGCTGAACAGAAACCAAGACTCAAATAATAATTTACAGTGTTTATTTATAGTTGTGATAATAATGATGGCATTAATATCTGGAGACGGGATCACCTGGGGAACAGAGGGGAAGGTTAATGGTCCATATGTGGATGGGGATTTGTTATTGAGGTTTAGTCTTACTGGGAATGTTAAGAAGTGGAGTGAAGAAGTTTTGTCCAGGAGATCTTCAGTATGAATGGCATGAGGGAATGGCAAGTGGTGGAAGGCTCTCAGCAGCTGTAGAGGCACAGGAGGGGTTGAGGTTCGCATGGAGCTCAAAGCAGGGCAAGTGAACAGCAAGTTCCAAAACTCTGAGAAAGTGCAGATAAACACACAGGATTAGTTTTAGTTTGAATCAGAGACAAACTGGCTGGAACACAACTACCGTTGGTAGGCAATGTCCCAGCGCCTGCAGAATGGCTCCTGAAGCTTCCTGTGGGTTGAGTTGATTGTGAACAGCTGCTGCCATTTAAGGGTACTGAGGAGAGAGAGAGAGGCAGGGTGCAGGACAGAACTCCTACAAAAATCTCAAATGAACAACAAATTATGGTGTTTTAAGTACTTTTCAGACTTTTGAAATGCAGAATCAGTGAATAAAATAATAAATCGAATACATGAATTAATCAATACTGCTTCTTGTTTTATGAGGTATTTATTTAAGTAGTAAATAAAAGGTGATGATTTGTATTGCCCTTATATTACAATTTTAAATAAAAAAATGGCATACAAACTTTTAAAATGCATTTAGTTTTTGATAATATTACATTATTGTAATTATGATATAATTATAAGATGGCATTATTAATCTTTTAACTGATGAATATTTGGACTCCAGGGGATCAGTTCAGTTCAATTCAGTTTATTTATATAGTGCCAAGTCACAACAGAAGTCATCTCAGGGCACTGAACAAAAATGTTTATATATAAAAATAACAAGGTAACAGAAACATTAATTTATTAACTCACAAAAACCTTTTTCACGTAAATGTACAGCTTAGCTGTGGAGTTTTACAATCAATTTTAGTTCAGTCAGTGTTAAACTTTTGTTACTTTCATTTGCACATGATTTATAACCTACAAAGTATATGTGTGTGGTGTGTGTGTGTGTGTGTGTGTGTGTGTGTGTGTGTGTGTGATGTTAGAGAGCAGGTGTGATCTCAGTGTGGGCTCCTGTCTTTTCACAACCTCCACAGCCTCAGCTCGGCCTTTTCCTCTCCTCTCATCTTCCCTCCAGCTTGGTCTTTATTCCACTCTAAGCAGAAATGCATTGGTGTCTTGACCCCTGTTTTTATGGAGGGCAGGGACCTTTCGCTCCACGCTCCACCAGCGCGCGCATGCACACACACACACACACTCACACACACACACACACACACACACACACACACACACGCTCTCCCCTTGGTCCTTCAATAACACTGATAACTAGGGATGCACAGATCCACTTTTTTTTACTTCCGATCTGATCCCGGTACCTAAATTTAAATATCAGCCGATACCGATCCAGTTCCGATACCATCATCATCATTGATTTTATATGAGGCTGTAATATTCTCCTCTTAAGTACAATTTGTACAAATATATGCATGCATGTCCAAAAAGGCAACTTGAGGTAAGTTTTATTAATGTTGGATAAGTTTTAAAGTTAGAATTAAATTCTGCTAACACAAAACATGTTTTTTTATTTTTTATTCCTAGCTTTAAAGTGGATATTAAAGAGATTAATTTAAGTGATTGTTTAAAGTTATTTTATATATTTTTTAAATAAGGGGCAGATATAAGATTTTCTTCTTTCTGCACTCTTTTCATTCAATGGTTGTTTTTTTTGATGAATTTGTTTTGTTTCTTTTAAATGAATGAATAAATAAATTATGCCTCTCAGCGAGCAGGTCTCTGGTTCAAATCCCTGTCCGGAGGCCTTTCTGGGTGGAGTTTGCATGTTCTCTCCGTGCATGCGTGGATTTTCTCCGGGTGCTCCGGTTTCCTCCCACAGACCAAAAACATGCATGTTAGGCTGATTGGTAACTCTAAATTGTCCCTAGGTGTGAGTGAGAGAGTGAATGGTTGTTTGTCTCGTTTGTCTCTATGTGGCCCTGTGATGGACTTGCGACCCGTCCAGGGTGTACCCCGCCCCAGCACAGTGATTGCTGGACATGGGCACCGGTGACCCCCGTGACCCAAAATGGAATAAGCGGATAAAGATAATGGATGGATGGATGGAATAAATAAATAAAATAAAATAAAATGTTAAATGGCTTTAAACATCTGCTAAGTTCATGGCATAAACCAACAGACATGTTCCTGTTTTTAGTATTTTACATCACTTTATAATGTAGCTGT